CTGCCTTTCATCTCTTATCTTCTTAGACATACATGATGATGATTATTGTTGTAACTGCCAATTATAGTCATATTTCTACCATTATTATTGGCAATGCTATTTTCAGTCTGTATTATGTATTATTTTTGTTTCTGTGTGTCACTGTCTCTATACCTATTCTTCTCTCTTTCTTGGCAGCAGATGACTTTCCACCAATGGGATGGTTCTGCTCCGGGTTTTCTGTCTGAAGTTTTTTTTATACTTCCGACTGTTGTCAAATGCTTCCTTATGGGAGATTAATGTTATTATCTTCAAATAATATAACAAAATGGTAAGGTCTAGTTAGATCTACAGTCAAGTGTCATAATTATTGTTATTTTGAGATCTTTCCTCACCTCTGTTGGAAAGAACTAACATCTTGTACAGCTATAAATCTGCAGGTTTCACTGCAATTTGCTCAGGCAGCTAATGGGATTGTGCAACTTTTAATGGTAAGAATCAGAATCAAGATTGGTGGCTTAGTGTGCTGACACTAAAAAAATAATTCAACCCTAGTTTTCAGAAGCTTCTTCTGTGCCAAATACAAAACATACAGCTAACAAGCTAAAAGCTAAGTATGGTGTCAGAGAAATACAAAAATGGGTGTAAGATGCAAGATGACACCATGATGTTTGGTTACAGAAACAGACTCAACAGCCTCTTGACCATGGTATATATTTTCCTTTTCCTACCTTGTCAGCATCGTAGCCTGACATTTCTTGTGAAAGGTGAAGAAAGCGAGGCTTGTTGAGGTCAGCAGCCATGTTACTACATCAGCTTTTGCCCAAACTACATCAATGCAGCCTGTACAGAGTCGTCAGTTGTAAATCTCCCTTGCTGTGTCATGTGAAATTTGTCCAGTGGTGTGCCTGCCTCCGGCTCTAAACAAAGATTGTCGTCTTAGCGGCGAGCCACTACATCCAGAGATTTCTTTTTGCGTCCCAGCTTTCAGCAGATGGTCAAAAGACACGCTGGGCGCTGCAGCAGGGGCCGCTGTCCAAAGCGGTGTGGTCAGAGAATGTGAAGGCCGAGGCACCCTGAGTCAGAAGCCTGTGATACATCTTTGGTTTGAGTCTCTGACGCAGGGATACAATAGGATATTTTCTGCTTGTTTTATGACGTTGGTACCTGTTTTAAAAGGAGCCAGCCTGATCTTCTTCCTCCCTACTTTCTTGGATAGTGCAGCAGACACTTGCCACTAAACTCCATTAGACATCTGGTTTAATATTCCCCCATTCTTCTCTCCTGGATGTTTCCAAGTTCATTGAGGTTTTTCTGGTCACTCCAATTTTCCACTGGCAGCTAGCGAGGCTATCCCAGGGTGGTTCCTCCTGGAGGGCTGTCAGGACTCTGGGGCCAGCCTCTGCTGCTGTTATGGGTGCTTTTTCCCCTCCGCATTTCATCAACTGCACGGCTGTTAAGCAAGGCAGGGCTTTCCTGAGGGTACGGTGATGAAACGATGTTCCACGCACGACATGCAACACAAGACAGCAGAGTATTGTAGTTAAAAAGGGATTGTCCTCCTGGTAATATTGCCACATTTGTTTTAGACAGTACAATCAACCTTTGGTCCTTTGATTTCCGTCTTTTTATTGCAACACAATATATTTTCTATTTCTACATTGCATTTTTACAAGCTGGAAATAAGTCTAACTACAGTTCAAGTACAACTCTGCATGTGTATGGAGTGGATTTTTGGTTTTATGTTTCTGCTTACAGAATTGTCTTATATAATATGACTTTATTTGGATTAAAGGGGCAGGAGGAACACTGAATGCTCCATACACAACACATTTAAGTGCTAAAAAATCTGATTTCCAATGTTTTCTTTGGCTCAATGCACAAAGAAAAAAGGGTCTTTATCGTTGCAGCTCCATGGCTTGTGTAATTGTCCTCATCATGGCCAGGCTGAGCCTTGGCAGTGCCAGACCCACCAGGGGGTGACAACCAGTACAAGCCCCATCATCATCATCATTTTCCTCATGAGCAGCCCAACTCAATGGGCCCAGAAATGGGTATGCCTCTATGGCCCAGGGAACCACCCTTTCTCTGGATACTGCCTTTATCCTGTTTTAAACATTACAGTGACGCTCTGTTTGTGCGTCTTAGTGCAAATGTGCTTTTTACAGCGTGTGTGAGTGAGGGCGGAGGGAAGTGAGAGTGTGTTGTGTATTTTTATTATGTGGCGGGTCCGAGCATCTGCGTCCACATGTATGCGTGTGAATGTGCATACATCACGGTTGTGCGTCTACATTGTGTGAGGTGGGGGTAGCAGAACGTTACCACAAGCTGGTGGGGCACAGCTCTGCAGCTTACCAAAGAGGCAAGTGGTTGTGAGTCAGTCCCCACCGGGCAAATTTGTGGCCGTGGAATTAGCTCTGCAGCACCAGTGCCAAGATAGGAAATTAACGGTGGCTTTGGGTGAAAACGTCTTAGGGAGTTCAGAGACGAGAATAAGAGGTGCAAAAACTCCCTCTGAGGTAGAAAGAGGAAATGAGTTTCAAAAACAGCTGCATTGACTGCAAGTAAGCAGTTCAGAGGAAGCTTAAAATAAGGCAATAGGTAAATACCCCAACACATAAGTATATTTTATTATTCTGCTTTATTCTTTAAAAAAGGCCAGCTTAGGCTAAGTAGCTGATGTTGGTACATTTGATTGCTTTGTGTGGTACACTTAAATACAGTTACAAAAAAACAAGCAGATTGAGCATTTATTCACTTTTAAAATTCGAAAAAGTCAGGCAAAATGACGTCGTCCCCAGTCTATTCCATTTGTTGATCTTTGTTGTTTCATCCTTATTGTTGTACTGTGCTGCTTCAAAAATCAACGTTGCTCATTATTAGCATTTGGGGTAAAGAGCGACAGTCTATGTAGTGTAGGTACTAAATATTTCCAAACATGAATTCTTCCAAACATGAATGTTTCAGCTGATTGAGAACTGTTGTAGCTCACTTTTGCTCACAGAGCATTTTGTGTATTTCTGCAGCCTTTGGAGAATATTTGTTAAACCTGCCCCATGTGACATGTATAGGAAATCCAATAAAGTGAAATCTGATTTAACTGGTGGGATGACGGTACACCATTCACTCGTCACAACAAGAGAATAATTATAACCATATATACGCCTCTATGAATTGTCTGACCTCATTTGGTCCTTTAAATCTTTTGCTTTTCTTCTGCAGCGAGAAGTGACATCAAGTCACATGTCCAGACTCCTGGAGTTGTTCTTTGGATCAGGAGAAATACAGTGAAGTTTGTTGCCAAAGTAATCGTACAGGCTTCTTGGCTGTTTCTTTAAAAGCCTTTGCCAAATGATACATCAACAAGGGAGCTTTCTGCTCTTGAAAGTACAAATAAAAGAGCATATTACCTATAGAAATTCCCAAAAATGTAACTGAATACATTACACAACGTAGATCAAAAGACTTACAAAACATTGCTCAGTGCATTGTGGTTAGCCTTGTTTCTGCTGCTCGGCCTCTTACAGATTACTGCCAGTTGAAGGGAGATCGTGGTAGTAATAGCCCACAGTCTGTTTTGAAGCAGGGGAAGGCTTTTTAAGGCAGCCCTCTGCAGCCATTAGGAGGGTAGTACTGGATGACTCTTAACATTTTAGGAAGAGCTAGGAATGGTATGGCATGGAGGTTTGTCAGCAACCTTTTGGCTACACAAGTAAGACTTGTCATTTGTATCAATATTGATCTCAAATACCACACCAATTCTGATTAAGTCATTTAGTGACATTATTCCATAAATACAAACACATTATTGTTTAATGTGCAACAAAACTTTAAGTAAAAAAAAATGAACATGTGTCAGTAACAGTTAATCTTTTATCACTATTTTAACAAATAATCTATGACAAAGCACAGGTTTTAGCCTTTCGATCTAAGGTTTAGGTTTTATTCTCTTTTTTTTTATTCATTATGAATTACATTTGTTGGGGAACCAGACTAGTTTAAGACATCCTTTTGGTTTCTTTGTTTTTCTGGAAAATATCTATATTTTTATATCTGACATTTATACACTAAATAATTAATTATTCTATGGGCAAGTATGGTTGTATCAACTTAAACAACAATAAAATATCAGTTGCAGCAGTGTGAATTAGTTGGGACAGACTTTGTTGATAAAAAAAAATATTAATTTGAATCATAAATGTAATATCTAGCTTTTCTAGAAGCCTGAAACTGTGTCTTATTTTTACTTACATATTCTTGACTTGTAGCAGTTTTTCAACTTGAGGGTGACACGGTTAGTTGGAGGTACATATGCAGTCTGAATAAGATGGTTATACTTTATCTCAGCAGGACACTGTAGATCAGAACAGGTAAAAGACATCTCTTGTTCAGGAGATAAAATCTTACCTTGTGGAGTCTCTGTACTTTCTGGCTCCAAGAGTGTCTCCTTTCTTGTGTGCAAGTGCCTCAGAGCGACCTGCAGACCCCAGCTGTTTTCAGTGTGGGCAGCAGCACAAGGTGCTCCTGTAGAGGAATTCAGCACTTTGGACAGCACCTAGACCAGCTCTCCTCACTCTGGAATTCCAACACTGCACTCTCGCAGCCTGAGTCCAAGGACTTTGCGGTTTGTAAATGTGACCGCATTTCTTCCAAGGTGCACGAGGGAAGCTGTTAGAGAAAGGGAAAGGAAAAACACAAAGCTTATCAACGAGATGCAGCAGACTTGGAAATGCTGTGCTTTTTATCAACGTCAGAACCTTTGTTGCAGAAGCTACCTTTGTTCAGTTATGGGAGGATGTAGGAAAGGTACAAATGGATGGATGGATCACTTTTGCCAGATTTTTCTCATAATTTTTTTGGGGGGTTAAATAATTGGAATGGATTCTACACTTGACTTTTAATTAGCAATCTTAAAAGTGAAAGATGTACAAAATCTTCTGAGTGCTAGTAATCCAAAAAAAAAGTTTACATACCATCTCATCTAAGTATCCCTCAAGACCAATCTCTTTTTTTTCTTTCAGGCAGTCGGGAAGCAGCGTTCACCTACGCCATCACAGCGGCAGGGGTGGCCCACGCCATCACCGCAGCGTGCAGTCAGGGCAACCTGAGTCAATGCGGCTGCGACCGAGAGAAGCAGGGCTACTACAATCAGGAGGAAGGCTGGAAGTGGGGAGGCTGCTCGGCTGATATAAAGTACGGAATTGAGTTTTCTCGACGCTTCGTGGATGCCCGCGAGATTAAAAAGACTCCACGTCGCCTGATGAACTTACATAACAATGAGGCCGGGAGAAAGGTAAACAGAACTTCCAAGTGTTATCCAGGAGTAATAACAACTTTGGTCTATTTCTTTTAGTTTAGGTAGATTTATGTATTGATTTGTTTTCATTGATTAAAGCTTGTTTGATGTCATAAATCACTTGAATACAATGTGTTAATAATCAGTAAAAAATAAGGGGCAAAATGATGGAAATATTTCTTCGTATTCAACCAAATATAATTCTCCGATTTAGTCTTTGAAAATTACATGACTTGAACTCTTCCATTTAAAACTCAAAACTTTACATGGCTCAGTGCTTGAGATACACGTATGCTTTGAAACATGGATTCACAAACACGTGTTAATGTGTTCCCTTTGCAGAGAAGCAAACAGTCCCAAATAAGGAGCTAATAGTCACACACTGTCATGTGACAAAGGCCTGTGATTGACCAAGTTCACAAGTGATTGATCACCCAGCCTTCCTTTCAGCAGCTTGTTTTGCTCCAGCCAATTATTGACATTTCTTTCCACTCTAAGAGGCCACCTCTTATATCTGAGAGATTGTGTTGGCAAACTTCATTATGGGCATGTGTGTTTGCTATTTGACATTCACGAACAGTCATGGAGGAAAGAAAAGGAGAAAGAGAAAGAGTGTGAGGGTAAATAACAGAGAAAAAATGATGTTATGTTGACAAATGGATCTAATTAATAACTTTGGCTTTTTTTGTCCACTGGGGAAATGGGGCCTTGTGGCTGCCACATGGACAACTGCCATTTCGCCCTCCAACTCCTTTCATGGAATTATAAAGTGTTAAGTCAGGAACAGGATATTATTGCAGTTCTCTGCACAATACCAAAACATGTCACTGCCATTTGGCTGCGTCTATTCAGTGTGGGAAAGCAGGGCGACAATGTTGGTGTTAACACAGCAGGCTGATAGGGTCTGATCTGTATGCCAGGGTGCTGGCATGTTGGACTCTTAGAGTTGGAGTTAGTTTGCGCTGTTGCTGTTGTCATGCTGAGGCTTAAAAACTTTGGAGTCTACAGGGATGTGCAGAAGTCAGACCTCCTCTTTGCTGAAATCACAAGTTGCAAAATATCTCTTAGAATTGGAAAGTATTTATAGGATTTTGGCCAAGCTTACTGTTGCTTATTTCACCCAACTAACAAATAAATACCTAAATAGATAGCTGTTGGAAATGAAAATATTACATCCATCAAGGAATCCGAGATGGATTAACAACGATAGGGTAAAGACTGATTGTTGAAAACATGTTGGTTGATAAGCTGAAGCTAAACTGCTGCCATGCAGAAGTTACTGATTTTAATGCATTCTTAGCTTGCCTGGCTGATTGGTTAAAGTATTTGTTTGTAACTTATACGTTTTGTATCTGTTTGTTTTTGTTGTCTAAGCAGTATTCTAAATAGGAACAGGTTAATCTGTCGCTGACTTCTGTAACCAATTGAGCAACAACATTTGTATAATGTTGAGTTTGGCTGCTAGGCTCCACCCAACAAGCATTTTAATATGGCTTATAGTTCAACATAAATCACAACTGTTTGACTTGACATGAGTTGTTATCCAACACAGGCCATCTGTTTGGAACTTTTTAATACTCTTGAAAAGATATGATATGTGTAAATGGGACCTTTGTTGGCTTTTCAGAATACACAGTTTTTATGCAGATGATTATCTTCTTTTTGGAGCTTTTTTAGAAAGCCACTGTTTCCCTGTTTATTTAAGGTTGATCAAATGCCATGACATTTTGTCTAGGAAAAGCAGAACACAACAATTTATGAGCTGATAACAATTATCCTGATTGTGATATTGGAGGAAGCTGTGCCACCAATGAGATTTTGGTTGTTTTGTTTTCTAATGACTGATAATAATAATAATATATATATATATATTTTTTAAAACGGCCAAAAACAGTCAAATCCATGACTAAATTGTATGTAAAAAAACAGAGTCACCAGATCTCTTTCATCTTGCTTAGGGGCTTCATCTTGATGAGTGATCTTTGGATGGGAGGCTTGTCATATTGAACTAATTAGTATCAGATCAGATTGCTTTGATCGACACAGTTTAAGTAAATGTTTCCATGCATCCGTCAGACCCCTTATGCCAGGAATTCCTTGTGGTTTTGTGCTATACATTTTTGGAAATCCTCAATCTGAATCAACATCAGAGGCAAGATTGACAGCTGACCCCACTTTTAAGAAGTCGCAGAGCTCATGTTTTTTCAATCAGATGTCCTCAAATCAGGAAAGCAGGACCACATGAGTGCATGGACAAGTAAGACATTGATATTGAACAACTTTGGTGTACATTTGGTGAGTGTCTGATAGAAATGATGACTTGTGCTGCTAGCAAGGCAAGCTGCCAGGAAAAAGCTGCACTGGAAAAATGCCCTGCCAACCTAACTCAGATCTTATACAATGACACATGCTTCATTCAAGCAATTCTGGGGTTCTTAAGTTTTGCACTGTTTTAGTCCCATGTTGCAGTGTACCAACAATTCAATGTTGCTGACAGTACACAAGATTTCCCACATGCCCCAGTATTAGGAAGCAAAGAGAAGACTTTCTGCCGGGTGTACCATACTGTATGTTAGAGATAAGCAAAAAGATACATTTTAATCTGATTAAGGGCATTGCCTAAACCCATTTAGCTTCAATGAGTCTTTGACTTAAAGCATGAGTCTATAACTGTGATCCACATTCAAGCATGAGGCAACATTTGTTTTTTTACTAGTCACATAGTGTTAAAGCAGTCAAATGAATCTTAAATCCAGCTGTGTGCTGCTTAAAATTACCCCATGATGATTGCTAGCTGTATGAGATCCATGTTTGTTTTTCTGCCTTTGATGTGGTTAAAGGAAGGTTGAAGAGAACATAATGGAATATTACCAGTAAGAGTTTTTTTCCCCTCCATCAGGACATGCAATTGCCTGCCCTTCTTTACCAAAAAACACATGTGATATGCTTCTATTCTTCAAAGAGTTGTGTCACCCAGAACTCCAGCCAGATTTCAAATTTCTGGATGCCAAATTTAAATATCTGTGACATAAATGCACTGACTTTGAAGAATTAATCATCAGCACAATGATTAATTACCAGGATTATAGTTCTAGATAAAAAAAATGCCCCATTGCTATCAATTCAAGAAATATCTTGGTTGATCTGATATATTTGGGAATCTTGGCTTGCCATGTATGACATTGTGTGTTGATTTTCTCACACACAACATTATTGATTAATAAATATAGAATTCAGAAATTTTAAAATCAGCTGGTATTTCAAAATCTAACCAATGGAACATGAGAGATATAGTACGGAATTTGTCATCTGTCCTTGTATTATTTTGGGATTCACTTCCATATTTGTGACAGTTCTACATTTGTTCTGTTTTTCTCTACTGCTCTCCAGGTACTAGAAGAAAGGATGAAGCTAGAGTGCAAGTGCCATGGTGTCTCGGGCTCCTGCACCACCAAGACCTGTTGGACTACACTTCCCAAATTCCGTGAGATTGGCTACATACTCAAAGACAAGTACAACGAAGCAGTTCATGTGGAGGTGGTCCGGGCTAGTCGACTCCGTCAGCCCACACACCTTAAGGTGAAGCAGACTCAGGGCTACCGCAAGCCCATGGAGACTGACCTTGTCTACATTGAGAGGTCGCCCAATTACTGTGAGGAGGACGCTGCAACGGGGAGCGTGGGCACCCAGGGACGCTTGTGCAACCGCACCTCACCACATACAGATGGCTGTGACCTGATGTGCTGTGGGCGGGGATACAATACACACCAGTACACCAAAGTGTGGCAGTGCAATTGTAAGTTCCAATGGTGCTGCTTTGTCAAGTGCAACACATGCAGTGAGAGGACGGAGGTGTTTACCTGCAAATAAAGGACGCCAAAAACTCAGTGCCAGGAAGTGAGGCGCCAAGGACTAGCTAAACGAGGAAGACTCAAGCAAGGGAGATTATAGTGTGACATGGACCAGTGAACGATTTTGAAACAAAAGAATGGAATTTACACTATCAGCTCTTCATGGCAATGTTTTGCACAGCAGAATCTATCTAATTTCTTTTCAGAAAATAAATGCTAGGTATCAGTAGATAATTCCTCAGAACTTTACTGTTACATAGAGATTGTGCTCATGTACTGATCTTTCCACAGTGAAGATGGGACTACAGATAATGAATGAAATCCTTGGTGGGAACTGTGCATTGCACTGTTGGATTTACAGCTAAAATTCTCAAGCGACTTGTGCATGGAAAGGAAATGCAGTAACCTGGGAGTTGATCGAAATGTCTGGGAGAGATTGGTCAAGTCTTTGATTGAAAACCTTTCAAATTTTTTGTTGTATTTTCACTAAAGGGGAGCAAAGGTGAATCTTTACATTGAATGACTCCCAACCTGACTGGGACTCATGTCGGATGTTTGTAGAAATGAAGAACATTTTGTAATATTGGTGCGTTGGGGTGCGCCAAAATATGAGTGGAGAACTGTTAAACCCTCTGCTGCCAACTGGAATAGAGTGGAGTTTGTTAGTTTTCCAGTCACACTGGAACTGTCTGTTCTGAACACTGAAAATAAATTGTTTATTTATGTTATAGTATCTTAAAACAAAGCACTAACGGGTAGAGATGTCTTTTTTTGTACTAAGTGTAAAGAAAATTACTTTTTAGAAACTCTGACTGAAAATTTGTCTTTTAGAAAAATTACCCCTCATTCCTTCAAACATCTTTTTTTTTCTTAAAAAGAAAAAAAAGCTTCAATGCTGGTGTGTTGACAACAAAAAACATCATAACAGTGTGTTTCACATTAAAACACCTTGGTTCTATTTCACTGTAGCATAGATTATTTCCACTCCCTTACCTTCAAGCAGTATCATCTATCCAGATGCTTTTGCAATTCCGTTAACAGACAGTAGCAAGTAAACACATTTTAACTGCAAAGATCCTTCCTCAATTCATTTAACATTAAACTGATATGTTGCTGGATATGTTGTCGAGTGCTGCACTGATATTTCTACTCAGCTACAACTCATGAGAACTAATAAACTCCCATTTGACTCAGTGTGGAAGTTTATTGCTAAAATTTTATATTGGAATATGATTTTAGTTTTGAAAGAGATACTGTACTTGTGAATTAATCTCAAGATAATTGTATAGTTGTGCATGGTCAATGTTGTAATCAAAGGTTAGAGCTACAGACATACATACTGGGTCTGAAGAGGTATCAAATTAGTTTATTTGTCTTTAAACTTGAAATGCTATTGGAAAAGAGTTTTAAAGTACACACATTTCACGTTTAAGAATGGGTGTAATCATCAGGGCTATGGTTGAATTTGTTCCTTCCTAGGTTCACTCACCACAAAATTAATGAAAAACCAACAACTGAAATTCAGAAGTATGAAAATATTGGATTCACAAAAGTAATTGCTGAGATCTGGGAACAGTGTTATGATAACCAAGCCAACTGTTTGCCAATATTATCTAAACTACTTTGTTGGTAAAGACAATATTAAGCAACCAAAATTGTAGGTTATTTTGAGTATACAACCACAGCAAGAACAGTTGGAGAAAGATGAACCAGCCTGTCAATTGTGATTGATAGTCTGTGATCTACTAACAGTTTACCATTTGCCTTTTTCATTTCCAAAACCCTTAGCACACCTCATTTAAAGCAGATCCCCAGATTAAAGTTATTGACTTGGCAAATACAAATGTTATCATAATTCATAGGACTTGTGACCAAAACTATAAAAATTAGGTGTAACTGTATTTTTCTATTTGTATTCAATGGGCTTTATTGGATAAGACAACTTTAGAGAGACAGGAAATTTGTGGAGAGAGAGTGGGAGACGACATACACCAAACAGCATCAGGATCGGGAGTCCAACCAGCAACCAGTGGGACTAGAACTGTAGCTTCTTTTCAAAGAGTGCCTACTCTAACAACTGAGCTGAAGCAGCACTCATCCTGAAAAAAATATCACATGATATTACTTTAACTTAAACCACAGATGAACACACATTTGAGAATTGATTAGACAAAGTAAGCAGTTTAAGGTACATTGAGTTAGCTTTAGTAATGGTAGGTGTAAATTGTGTCATTGGAGAGCAAAAAAGCAGAGTAGGCAAGTTTATCCTGCTAAGATATTCCAAGGTAATTCCATTCTGGCTTGAGGGACAAACTTACCACTCAAACTTTGGAGTGGTAATGATCTTATCCTCCAACAGGCAGCAAGACATTTATAAACATAACTAATAAAGTTGGATGATGTCTTTTAGTCATACAGTTTAAAACAGACTAAATTAACCACAGGCTATACAGGCATTATGGTACAACCACTTGTAGTTGTGTTGGCACATTGCTGTTTCTGCAGTCTAATCAGCTCTAATCTATTTTAACATTTTTCAATGTCTTTTGGGGATTCCCAACTAGAAAGGACTTTGTGTTTTAGTTTACAAAATAACAAATCATTTTTGAGTGTTATAATTTTTGGACATAAATCATAACCACAGCTTGCCAAGCTAACCACACTTTAGTCTTTTAAAGGCTAATGCACATTGCATAATAAGTAATCTAGTTGAGTTTGCATGTTGGGTGTGCAACCATCTTTAACTTATTTTATCTCTGGAAAGTTTTTAATCAAATCAATTCGACGTAATGGTTATTTGAATAGGATGCATTGGCTCAGATAAAGTATACAATTTATCTAAATCATGGTTCACTCTGGCATTTATATTGTCTAAGTATAGCTCCAAACTTGAGACTTTTCATAAATATGTTTCCGTTGACAGGCAGGGATGAAAATCTTTTAAACACATTAAAAGCTGATGTATCTTACATAAAATGAGGAATGGTATGAAACATAGAAGAAGGCAAACCCCTTTAACCCTGAGTAAGGCATCCACATTTTTCATTTTATTGTGCAATGCATGTTGGTACAAGAATGTTCCTGTTCAGTGTGCAGTTGCCCGTGTCCACCGTTCCAGCAAATATCCAAAGCTATTATTTTCATAAATTCTCTCCCTTTGAAGGAAAACACACACATTAAATCTGGTCATTGTGTGTTTTCAGGTCTGAAGCCAAACTTTATGTGGAAGTCTGTTATTCAAACATTCCAACCACGCTTAATTTAGAAACTGGCAAATGTGTTGGAGAGCATAAATCATTAAAAATCAAAAATAAATAAACTGAGCAGTATGCTGACTTTGACGTTATTTTGTACACAGCAGATTTTGGTAATATGCTGTGGTCTTCTTTCTTGATTGTGGCACGCACGGAACAGAAGTCAATAATCTCTCCCAGCATGGAAAGGAGCTTCTTCTCCATGTGTGTGTCAAAGCAGAGACGTGATCAGGAACACAGAGAGAGAAGGAAAATGCAAGAAGCAACAAGGTTTATGGAAAACACTTACTTTCCATTAAAATGCAAAGCAAAGCCCCCACAAAATCAATCCATAGTTACCGTGCAAAATGTGATTATTCATGAAGATGGAAATGGTTTTGTTTGAGAGAGAAAAGCAGCCATGCTGCTCTTTAGGGATAATTGGGGCTGTCTGACTTGGGTGGTCAAAGCCACCTGTGACACCCACACTAACGCTTTACCTCATCATTTTGCCTGTTTATTTAATGTTGTATTTGGAGCATTAGACAGCATTATGAGGTACAATACATGAAGCTCAGAATAAACTGAAGAAGAATTATGGACGCAGGATGGCAGAATGAGTGGCTCCCCATTCGAGCCTCTCCTCAGGCCTTCGAGGGTTGGCAGAGCTGCTCGGAGTCACTAAATTGGAAGAGGACCTTCATGCAAATGTCCTGATGTGAATGGGAAGTGGGCTCAGTGTGCCTCTTGTCTCTGGACACACAAACAAGAGTGTAGTTCTTTTATGCGGGTGTTTTTGAGATGGATGGGATGGCTTGATGAAACAAGGAGGTTCATGTGTAGCCGGAAACTGCGAGTGAAAAGAGTGGTTATTTAGGAGAGGAGCTAATTGAGAGTGGTTTGGAGAAAGGGTTGGTATATATAAGTAGGAGCAGCTGAACCGTTTTACAGACTAAGCCTTGTAAAAGTTATTTAGGAATAATTTGATCATCATCATATTCACTTTACATAGCTGTCAAAGTGAAGTACTCTCCAAGTTCACTTGAATTAGTTGTAAACTTTGCTGATCACAGAAGAAGAAGAAGAAAATGGACTAGGGATCTTTGATACTTAAAATTGTTTCCGTCTTTCATAAATGACCATTTTGGACACGGGCCCTCATAGTCTTTCAATCCAGCATCTTTTTTTATTTTTTTTTATGAAGTTGCTCTGTGAAAGAGAGCCACGTTATTTCATTCATTTGCTGGACGCTCCCTCTCGTCCTCCTGTATGTGTAAAGCATTGTAGGCGAGCAGCAGAGCAGAAGTAAGAAGTGTTTTGTTAGTAGTCTGAAGCCCTGGGGACCGGAACCACATAAGCTCCCCATACTATACTCTGAGTTGAGAAAAATAAATGTGTTTGTTTCTGACAAACATTCTATCATTAAAATATGAAATAGAAAAACAGACTTGGTTATGTCTGCCTTATTCTAAAGCAGCTATTGTTTGGGTGTCAGGATCATTTGATCCGTACACTGCTTCTGGTCTGATTCACAACTTGTCCAATTCAGGTGCAAGTTTTGGGGGAAAGACAGTTGTGAGGCAACATGACCTCTAAGATTACTTCAGAGCATAGAGCTTTAGTGTACAAAAGTGGTGCATTAACTTAAAAACAAATTGTCATGCAATAAAGAGTTTTAAGGCTCTTCAGTGTTTTTGGAAACCAAAGCATCTTCAACGTTAAATAAGTATGTTAAGGAGTCATGAGAGTTTTCATTTAAGCACAAAGTTTGTGTAGACAGGTGTAATTTATGATTGCCTCTACCTCTCAAATCCTGAAATCATTGAACCAATGAAGTAGCAAAGAACAGGTTGTTAATCCTGAGTGGTTTTCTCATTAAGATGACAAAACTTTTTATTATTTGCTTTGAAGAGAATTTACAACACCTTAGGTAATTGAATGGCTCTCAGCCAAAGGCATATTAAATCAATTTAGAAATTAGAAACATTTCGTCATGCCAAGTATTTTTCTCAAATTTTCGTCCCAGTTTTGTGACGGGACAAAAGCCCTTCCAAATTCCTTTGAATTAGCTCCAACAATCTGCCTCCTCTCCTAATTTGTAACACAGAACATTTAGAAGCTCAAACTCTAAGAGATAAGGCACATCTGCATGAGGGGGAAGAGAGCAATGGGGCAGAAGGAAGCAAAGAAAGGAAATTACCTAAATAAAGAAATGAAATAATAAATCAAGGAGTCAGAGGTCTCCTGAGCTGACGCTTGAGATTATCCAGATACCTAGAGAGAAGAAAAGAACAGTTGTCTTCCAGACACCACACCTCAATTACAGACTTCTCCTCAGTTGAGTAAAGAGATGTTAAACAGTCCCAGAGGTGATGGATTATTCTGGGGCAATCCTTTAAGTTTTGTTTGTTATTTCAGGATGTGAAGGGCTTTGGCAAAGGTGACAGAAAAACATGGAGGAACTACTGTGCTGGCAACATGTTATAGCAAACCCCTGAGGACTTACTGCAATCAGTCTGTTGCAGCAATGATGCAGGTTTGGAAAGTTTAAATTCTCAACGCAGAAGAGCACACAATACAGTTAAATGCTGCCCGCAACACAGCCTGCAACACAGCCTGCACCAATTAAGAACGTATAGTTTTCTTTTTCATGTGATCACTTGGTGTTTTTCTGTGTTCCTTTAACTTTGTTTTGACTGCTTGTCTTAGTGAAAGACCGTCATTTGGAGGTTTTTACTCATCATCTGTTTGATATTAGTGGTGAGGAACATATGGCCATTCAAAGGCAAAACCCTGTGTGACATCATACACCACAAGGCAAAGTGGGGATCGTCAAGACCCCAAACTGAGGACTGAACGCTACCTGACTGCCTCCATCCATCTGCAACTGTATTGTCCCAATAATGGGCCGGTGTAGGTCTCTGTTTCAGATGTGTGCTTGAG